ATATCTAAACTTTTGTGACTTCTTGTTCCACCTGCAAAGTTGGTAACTCATTCCATGGCTCAAACTTAAAATCACAGCTGTTTGCAGCTGCCTGCCAGGGTCTCAAATGCCTCTCAAATGCCCTGGCCTGGAACCTCCAAAAATGTCTGAGGGACATTTTGAGTTCCAACAATTCATGGGCTGCAGCTTCCCCCAAGGCATGGCCACCTGCTCTGGGAGTGGGGTCCATGGGTGGATTTTTCCCCAGCAGGTTTCACCACAAGCTGCGGAGAATGCTCTGCCTGGCACATGTAGAGCTTCCTCACACTTCTTTTCTGACCTTGATGTCTGCAGGTTATCCCCCACATTTTTTCTCCAGTCCTTTCTCACAGATGCTGCACAGAATTTACCTTTTCTTAAATACGTCTCCACAGAGACACCGGCAGCTTGTCTGAAGGTCTCAGCTTTGGGCAATGGTGGGTTCCTTTCAGAGCCAGATGGAAGGAGCTCTGTATGACACAGAGGCCACTCCCAAAGCATCCCTCTCATTCTCACTGCCAAAGCCTTGCCACTGAACCAAATACAGCTCTATTTTGTGCTTTCCCACAGCAAGAAACCAGACTATGATTCCCTCACAAGAGGGGGAACTGCTCCATTAGTCAAGCTCTGCAGAACTGTCCCTTAAAGCTAAATACAAGCTGTACTTGTTAGATAGGAGAGCAACAGACAAATCAAAATTGCCTGCTAACCTCCCTCAAGCTTAAGTTAATACTGAACTAGATAAATATGATATTTCACTAAACTAAATTATTTTTTCCCTGCAGTCAAATGTCTAGTACTCTTATCTTTTGGTAAATGACTGCAGAGAGGTTTTACAAAATAAAGAGGTCCTTGATCCTAGCAGTGTATAGCGAGATCACTGAATCCTTCTGTCTCCTCTACTCAGTATTTTGAAGTCTTTTGCAACTTTTGTAAACAGTTCTAGCAACCCTTTTGTAGGAAAGGAAACACAGTTTGCACAGTTTCTCTGAGGCCAGAAAGTGAGTCAGCAGTAGGGAGTCAGGAGTTCAGAGCCACAAAATAGTATCCAGTTACTTCACTGCCACAGTCCAGCATTTGGAAACGGTTTGTGCCAGACCATGGATTCATTAATATTAATGATTATTTCAGGAATAAGTTATTCTGGAAATTAATAGACATCCAAAGCCACTATGTGATTTGTGATATGTGATAATGGACAATGTTCCTTAAAATTGGCATTGCACAGCAGAAAATACTGCCATCACTGAATGCAATTTTCACCCATCTCAGTTTTCACAGCAAACTAAACTACTGAGATTAAAAATTGTGACGTGGGAAAATACTATATTTTCCCTTAGCTAAACAACAATCCTTACACTTAAAAATATCTTAGCTACGTATGACAATGAGAAAGCAGTGATAAATTCTAAGCCCCACAAGAATACTTGCTGATACATAACTGAAGTGGTATGTTAATCACATTAAGACCTCTAATAAACCTTGGGCATCAAGTCAAAAATATGCTTTGTACTTTGGTTTTAAACTTTTTTTTTTTTTACTTTTAATTAAGTAGCTTGTCCCTTTTGTTCAAGTGTGATTTCAGGGAAGAAGTACACTGAAATGACTGAGAATTATATTTCTGCCAGATAGGAATTATCATATGAGGTTTTCTTCACATTTAAAATTCAGAAATACCAACATTTCCAAAATTGTGAATACCTACCTCTCCACACACTTCACTGAAAAAAATTGCAGCTTGAAGTCCAATATTCCTGCTTTTATCTTCCCTCCTCTGTAGGGAAGGGATTCATAATGTTTCCTACAGCATATTTCAAAAGAGTTCAGGAATTTAGACTCTGCTTTTTCCTTTCTCCTGAAAGAATCAGAAGGTGCAAGAAAACTTTCATGGGTTTATGAAAGGAAGGAAATGAAGTAATGATAAACTGCACACACATGAAAGCTACTAGATTCTTCATTCTGATCATGAAGAAAGCAACTTTGCTCTGTTTACAGAACAAGAGCAGTGCCTGAGTCAACAAGGTCTCTTACTTCAGTGAAAATTCCTTTTTTGGTAACCAGAGAGTAGGACTTGGTGCATTGTTAGTAAGTGATGCAAAGCAACAGGCAAAAAGAGTCAGTGCAAACAAGGAGGCAGCAAACACTTTTCACACCTTCTGCACCTCACTGCTCCCAGCCTTGTCTGCAACGGCGACAAGTGCAGTTTAACTGAGTTTATGGGAAATAAAACTAAAGTTAAAAATGCCAAGTGGAAAAATCTAGCTGCTTCTCTACATTCCTGCAGTTAAAAGCCCGTGTTTTCAGTTTTTCTGTATCTTGCTAGATAATGTACAGCACTTGTACATAGTTTTCTAAAAGGTAGATAATGCCAAAGTTTTTATTTGCTGCATATGAGATACAGCTGAAGTAAGAGCTATTTTTCTTAAGCATTCTGTTAAAAAAAAAAAAAATCACACTGGTTCCAACTCACAGAATGACAAACTCCTCCAGTTTGACTCAAAGCCAAAACTTTATTTCCAGATAGAAGTTGGTACAGTAGGAAAAAAAAAATCACCTCCCAGTATTAAGCCTGTGAAAGATCCAGATTCAGAAGCAATGAAACAATTTTAGACACAACTTCCAGGACACTTCTCCCATTCTGAAAAAGTATCAAAGCTGAGCTAATTTAATTCAAAATGCAAACAGCTGAACAGAGGGAATTGCTCCAAGATGGAGACTGCTGCACACAGGAACTTCAGCAGATCAAGTTTTGAGTGTTAAGCTGTTGAAGGAACAGCTGCATAAAAACACTGCACATTCATAGCAGGTCAGCTTTTCAGATCATTGCTGGGTTCCCAGACAGTGCCACAGGAAAGCATGATGTGTTAGTCCTGTAATTGCCTCTGGCTAGAGAGGGCTGGAATTTAGGATCTGCACTGTTTAGACATGCACAAACTTTTGTACTACAGATGTTGAAGAAGAAATTCAAACAAAGCAACAATGAGCTATTCCAGTTGTTTTACCTTCTTTTAATGCTGGTGTTCCCACCATAGGCAACAAAGATATTCATAGAAGCATTTAAGAGAATTTGCTTTCAAGAGGTGTGCTTGTTTTAGTAGAATAAGTGGTCCTTAAAAGCTGAAAAAATTAATTACCGTGTCCTTGTAAAGGCAGTTAAAATGCAGTTCCTTGACAGGGAAAGAAAGACTTTGGCCAACGATTAACATGGCAGGGGGTGTCAAGAAAAATACAGATAAAACAACAGGTTATATCAAAATGGGAACTTTCTCATTACTCCCAGAATAGTTTGTTGTTTTCTTCTGAAGGACACCTGACAGTGCTGCAAGCTCCAGGCATTCTCTCCTGTGAGAAATTAGGAAAGAACAAGTCCTCCCCTTATCTGGAGCAGTATGCCCTCTGCCTCCTCCACCAAATGCTTAGAAGTAGATGGGAAACAACATGAATTAGGAAAAAAGGCAAAGTTTTTCTTAGCTGTCTATTTATTTGTAATACCATCACTTAAGAGATGGGCAGAGACCGACCAAAAATTGTATCCATTAGTCCCTTTAGCACTTGGGTTTAGGCTGCCTTTCCTCTCAAAAGTGATCTGAAAGATGCAGCTCCAGCTGGCATAGCCACACTCGGAGTGGGAAGGAAAAAAATAAGCATGTGAAGGTAAGATTTGCAGCTAAAAGCAAGAGCAATTTTCCCATGTATCAGTGACCTTTGAAGGGAACAGACCCAGCAAAGAGGTCAGAATAGATACCACCAACCACGATGCTTCATCTTTTCCACCTTTCTGCTTCTCTTTTGGCAGATCAGGTCAGTGCAACTGGTGCACAGAGTTAATGGACTCCTGTCTCAAAGGCATGGCAAGAACTGTGGGGTCCATAGTGGTCTTTTTCCTTTCACTCCCACTGATTTCCTCCCCTGCCTCACTTGTTCTCTCTGCACCAGAGCTTCTCTTACTAGGTGGCACCTACCGTCAGGACAGACACATTTCCTGCATCTGATGTCACCTTAACAGCTTTCAGCCTTCCTCAAGTTCTTCATGTGCAAGCAAACAAAAACCTCAAAAGCTACACCTGTGAACAACCAAAACTGGGCTATTTTTCCTTCACCAATGTGAGTCTGCATTTTGACACAAGATGCCTAAGGGTACTTGTTCTCCAGTTTTTCACATTGTTGAGGAAAAGCTTACTGAAAGCTGGGCATAGCAACAGTTCAATAAACTGCAAGAAGCATTACTTTGTCCTCTGATACAGCTTGTCTTGGGAGATTATAACACCACAAATATTCACTTTAGAGCATACATGTATGTTATGCAAGATTAGACAGTGTTCTGCTGCTCTCCCTGAAACCAAGGGCAAGAAAATACCCAGCATCATGTACCATACATGTACCTCAGGCCCACCTTGACAGCTAGTGTCATCTTGTAACAGTAAAAACGACAAAAGTGGTGGTTTAACCCCTGAAAAAATCTTCAGCAGGTTCCTTACAAGTCATATTCATGAAAGAAGATTATTCAATGCTCAGGCAGAACTGGACATCAGATTAATTAAGAAAACATATCAGGTTCTTCCACTGTGTGAGCTGTAACAATCTGAACATCCTGAAGATTTGAAAAAAATATATAAAGAACTATAATGAAAGGGTTTTATTTGTTTCAAGAGAAGTAAGGCTAAATCTTAACCTTCTGCTTAGTGGTTGCACAATCTCTAATTAGACTTCATGAGAAGAGCCAGTGACTGAAGTAGAACTGAAGTTGCACTATGTAGTTCCATTGTCAGCAGGAGTAAATAGGTACATTCATCTCAATGTCAGCTTCACACTAATGCCAGCACTGTAAAGGATCAAAACTAACAAATAAACAAACAAACCCCACAGTCCCCATGACCTCATCTTACAGCCCAGACTGTTCAGAATGCAAGTAGATAGCCATGAAAAACAAATAACAACAAAATACCAAAACAAACAAAATAACCACACAAAAACCCCCAATGTCCTGATTGGTGCAAAAAAATATTTAATTGGTTACAAAGCATAAAGATTTCCAAGTATACTTATTCTTAATTTTGAATTTCTGGGCCAAAAACCTGCCCTCTCTTTCCTTTTGCCAGATTCTCAGACATTAGGCACCCATCTTTTTGTGGTGTTAAGAGCCTGTGAACATCCAACACTTCATGACTAAAGCCCACAAGCACTCCCAAACAGGAAAAATGCTAGTTCACAGTAGTGCACATCCCCCTACTATAACATTGTTACAATCAGAACTGGACAAGAAAATATCTTTAAGTGAAAGGATTCGACATCAGAAGTTGTGGTCACTACTCCCGCCTGGATCTCGTGCACATGTCTTCTTCATCATATTCACCCAGCAACTGCAACATATATGTTCCAGTATAGAGCAGAAACTGTCCAGTTATTTGTGCTGCATGGGATATCAGCTGGATCACTTTCCTGGAAGAAAAATCATTTGTTAAGAAGAAATCACCAGCAAGATTACATTACTCCTTTCCACCCACAACATTATGATGAGTTAAGTCAATATATTTTAAAACTCCTCTCATTCCTTCTCACTTCTGAGAGGGTGGTCTTTTTTGAACCTTCTTTAGAGAAAATACTTGATTGACAGAAAACTATTGACAAGTTGGCAGGACCAGAAATCACATTCAACAAAGCAGACTGACATTGTGCTAGATGCTTACATGCTTCTGCAAAGCCATTACTCAAACCACCACAGTACCACAGAAAACAGCTTTGCCTGGGAGCAGCATTCTTGCAGCATAAACTCACCTCATGTCTCACCTTTGTCATTCACTAATACAACCCTGTATGTATCTTCAAGCCACAGATCAAACCCGATTAGATCTGAAGCTGAACAATCACATTACAGTAGGTACTCAAAAGCAAAACAGGTGAAGCAGGAAAATTACTGCTGGCCAAACTGCAAGCCTTAAGAATTCTCAATTCACAACTATTTTATTTTCTAAAAAAAAATGGATAAAATCAGCATTCAAGTATATAGTGCTGTCTAAGAATCAGATAACATCAGGTAAACATCAGAGGTTGACAATGTAAGTTGTGGATCTTCACAGGGGAAGAGATAGTGATATTTGAATGGTCATTTATTAAACTTAGTTGTAACTGCGTCTTCCATTCTGCAAGAAACAACAGGGACACAAATACTGAGAGCTACATTTGAGTCTCATCCCCCAGAAATTAGGAGGACACTTGAGTAGGATGCTGGGGCATTGGGAAACAGTACAAAAAAAACTGGAACCATTCCAAAACTGGAATGGGATCAGTTTCTGAAGATACAGAAACAAGATCAGTCTCTCTGCTGAAAAAAAACCCAAAAAAACCACAAAACAAAACCAAACAAACAAACAAAAAACCCCCCCCAAAAAACCAAAAAAATATTTTCTGAATTCTTGTCTAAGAAAATATGCAGCTGTGAACCCTCTGCTTCTATTCACTTGTTCTTAGAGCTTGAGCAGAGAAGGAATAATCTTCCTACAAATTCATATTTAGCCCCACTGTCATGAAAGGTTTGCAGTTGAAATCCAATGCCTCAACACAGCAGAGTACAGACTTAGAGCCTGTGAAGCCTTTAAAGAACACTGTACCCTTATTCATGCTTCCCACACGTGCCATTGCAGCCTGTTCTTCCTCCGCCACACAGACCAGGCCCAGGAGCTTTGCAGTTGCAAAGAAAGCTGCACCTGGTGCTGGGCTTTGGAGCAGCTGCAGTGTGTCACTTGCACACAGCAGCAGTTGCCACTTAAGCCACTGAGCAAGTTATTTGTTGAACTGGACATTCGATCCTTCAGTCGAACACTGCAGGGAAACACCAGGAGGGGAAATGCACTAATCAGACCTGGCAGGCTTCCAGCCCCTCCCACCATGAACAGCTGCAGCATTTTTCAGTCCTTTCCCTCCACACTCAGCATGTGGGCTCGGGGAGAGGGCATCAGAGTTAGCAATCTGGAACTCATTAGCAGGGGGACTGCACCAGGATCCTGACTTCGTCTGTCTGATTTCAACAGCAAGCTGAGACAGGCCATGTCACTGTTGTGTTCAAGGGTACCCAAGGTTATGTCTTCTGTCACCCTGTTCTTTGCTAGCAGACTGTCATCCCACCCTGACAGTGACATTTCCCTTACAGCTCGACTCTCTGCAACACAACAGAGCTTCCAGAAGAGCTCCACAGCTACTTCAGCTGTTTGCCAGCACCGCTCCTTTCTCACCAGCTGCCCTGTCTTGGCAGGGAGGCAGAACTGTCACTTCAAACTCTCCTTAGCAGCACCAGTTCCAGTGCTGATACTCACTTTCATAGCAGGCAAAGATCAGAGTTTGTTTTGGCTCGAGAGAGTTTGACAAACATAAGAACTGGAGGAGTGCAGCTGTCCAAGGGCAAACTTCTGCTTTGAAGAAACCCTAAAGAAGTCAGTGTTACAGGTGGGTGTAGCACGTAGCTGGATAATAACTTCATCCTGACCAGAGAGGAATCTTGTCTCCTGCCACACCAGCTGTAGCCTGAAAGATTAAGGACCACCCAAGTAAAGTGCAAGAGGTCAGCAAGACTGAAGGACAAGGAACAAGATCAGCATTACCGTGCTCATCTGCATCAGGAGAGGAAGGACTGCTTAAAGACTGTTTCATCTAAAGGCCACATGTCACTCAGGACAAGTCAAAACTTCACTGATGACATACACATGTGTCTGTTAGATCTGGTCCTCAAGTCATAAAATGCAGCACACCATTGTGTCTCAACCAGAATTCTAAAAGTATTGGGGTTGCAACCTAAACAGTTGTCAAAGTACAGCACTCCTGGGAAGGGGTCTGAACTCAAGAGTCTCCTTGAGCCGGGGCAGAATGCAGCTGATCGTGACAAGACACCCACTTTCATTGCTGAAAACAGTGAATTGGATGGATTATTTTGCCCCTGAATAAGACAGCTTTTCCCAACAGCCAGTTCTACCAAACTCAGAGCCCACAGCAGATCAGTCCTGCAGGAGACAGTGGTTCTTGACAGGCTCCCTTAGCTAGCCTAGAGACCACACCAGCTGGCTTAGAGAACAGTGATATCACAGTCAGATGTAGTGATATCACTACAGATGACATATCCACATTAGCAGAGCAGAGTGTCAACTCTCTTCCATTTTCCTTTGCCTCCATGTAGCTCTAGTGGTGAATCTGGCAATCAGGAACTGCAATGTCTGAGCAAGCTTTAAGACCCCAGACATTAGATCTCAAATTCCTTTCATTTCATCCCCTTGAAGTCTCTTCTTCAAAGAGCTTCTTTCCCCAGCCTCCCACATTGTTCAGACAAACAAGTCAAGGAAGTGTGAGGAAATTCTCTCAGCAGAACAAAGAACCCCTGCTTTACACCCTTTCAATAAATACAAGCTGATTAGAGTTTTGCCGTGGCAGAAACTTTCCATCATAAAAAGCCACAAGAAGTTTTTTACCAGTCAGCTATCCACCTTAGGAAGAAAGAGTTAGAATATCGGCCAGTAGGTAAGAAAAAAAATACTGATTTTATAAACACACCTGTTTCACAGAACTAATAGCAAACACAGATGTTTACATTAGCACGTACACTTGCCCAGTAGTGGAAAAACACTCACCTCAATACACTTTTTGCTCCCATGCATTTGATGTCATATGAGATAGAGTAGATCTCATAGAAGGTTGCCTTGATGTTTAAGCAGCCAATAAAATCCTTAGGGTTCAGTTTGTACAGATCAAATGTGATGTTAGCTACTCCCATTTTCTTCTTTTTTCTCACAGCAACAACTCCATTTTTTGTCTGTTTTAAAAAGAGAGACAGTTTGTACCACAATGCAGGAAACTATGGCAAGACAATTTTTAACAGTGCTGCTCTGCAGAAGCAGCTTTGCTTATTCCAGTCTTGGGGCTAGTTCTTGGTCAATTCTAAACTGGAATTAAAAGCCTTAGCACACAGAAGAGGAGGGCTGTAGCTCATGAATTGTTTTTCAAGTCCTGAACAGGCTTCTGAAGTTTTTCAGACACTAAAATTCTAGAGTCACAGAGCACTTCCTGAATATTTGTCTTCTGTAGTAGGGCTTCTTCAGAGTACACTGAAGCCACAGGTAATACCACTGGACCATTTTCCTGCCATTTATTTATCCTGGTACATTCTGGTTTCTCTGGCACAGCGAGGTTAAACCACCAAATAACCAGGATGACACCAGGTCCTTCTGCTAAGGAACACAGTACAGATGAGCACACTTGGAGACAGCTACAAAGATGACACCTGTAAAAAGTCAGGGACTCATTTCAAAACCTGTCTCACAACATCTTTCTTCCCACTAAGAAGAAACAGGGAGGGAACCACTGCTGACTAGGCCAAGGGTTTAATAATGAGATTTTAGGAGGAAAAGCGAAGGAGAGGGAGCATAGAAAGTCATCTTCCACCTTAAAGGCACCCTCCTCTATTGAAAGCAGCCCTTGTCTGCTGCAGGGTGTGTGCTTCGAGAAAGGGAAACCAAAAAGAAAACAGCAAAGAGGTCCCATATTCACAGAGACATCTAGTGGATACACGGGATCCTCTGCTCAGCACATTCCACTCAAGGTTAACGACCTGGCAGCTGCCAGGCTGTTTTCTGCATGCTAAATGAAGCAATAAAGTTGTGTAAGACTGGACCTTTTTGTACTTGACACTCCAGCCCTCAGACAGTGTCATGATAAGTCAGACAAAGTTTAACACAGCAGTATATCATTAGCCAGCAATTCTATGCCTGTTTTACTTGATAACCTCCAAGCTCCAGCAACAGGGTCCCCTATCAACAACAGCTTTGGACATGTATGAGCAGTTGGTGTGCTTGGAAGCATCTCCCCACACCCCTCCCCCTTAGCACCCAGAATATTTGGATAAAGCAGGACAGGGCTGGTGCTGCACTCCAGGTGATTGGTGAAGCTGTGACAATCCCTCTGTTGTCACTCAGCACATTCTGAAGAGGGGCTGCCTTCAAACTTGTGCTGCTGCAATACCAGACAAGAGACAGGAGAAAGGTGGAGTCACACCCTGGCTGCAACTCCTTTTCTGCCCTTATAGAGCTCATGCCCCAGGTGCAGAGCTTGAAAAACCAGTGAGTTATTTGGGGGGAAAATGTACAGGTTGCCCACACTGCAACAGGAGACTGGGAAAACGGGGCCCCATGATCGAGCTGTATGTGTGCAGGCACAAAATTTGTGTCCCTGCTTACAGCCAGCTCTACAGCTGGTAGAAAAAATTCTGATGCCAGCTTTTCAGCAAAAAGCATCTCATGGGAAAACAGTTACGAGTTTGATTCTATGTTATCGATGTACAGACGACTATTTCCCCATAAAATAAATAATTGAATACTGAATTTATATGATTAGAAGGCTAAAGCATGCCAGTTTTAATAGATCTTAAATATCATGAAGCATGCAGACCAACATTAGGTTCTGATGCCAACTTTTGGCTATCTGCAAAATGAAACAAGGCCCATTTTTCTATCATTAAATACTACTGCCTTCAGATGGCAGAACCTGCTTTATATTACTTTATTTGAGCATTTTTACAGTGTAAAGCTAATCATTAAAAACACTGTATTTTTTTAACTTCACAGAGTTAAAGTCCTAATTTTCTTTATGTACAAAAAGGCTCAAAGACAAATATTTCTGAGCTTCTCCAAAAGCAGGCTATTTTCCCTATAAGTCTTTTCAGTTGTAATGTTTTACTTCAATTCCTGGTGGATTTTGCCAACAGATCTACGTACAAACAAGGGATAATAAGAAATAGGAACTTGATTTTTCATCCAGGAAGGCTCAACAAGGAGTTTACACCATGCCTCTTGAGAGGAATTTTTCTTCCTCTTCTCCCCTCTTTTCAATAGTTTCAACAGCCACAAACATTGCTCCATCCATTTCTACTCAGATGAGAGATGAGAGAGAAGCAGTCAACACTTACTGGTGTCCATTTCTGCCCATTTTCGAGAACCATGAAGTGTGTATTGTCATCCAGGGACTTGAAGAAATCTTCTGTGTCCACAACTGTGCCATCTTCCTCCAATACCAGAGTAACTATTCCAGCAGTTATAAAGAAGGCATCTAAAGTCTGGAAAAAAAAACCCGGGAGATTTTAGCATTCTAAAGAGTTAATCATTTAATATTGAGACTTTATCTGAAATATTCTCCTGAACTTCCCCAGTAATGGTTTTCTAGAAGAACAAGAGTCTGTGTGTCTTTCTGGGATACTGTATTTTCCTGTAAGTCAGAGTGGGACTGTTTGCTATACCTTGCTGAGGAGCTCTTGCAGGCTGCTTGCAACAATTCCCTTCCGGCTGCTTCGGGAGGCATTGGACACACGGAAAGGGCGCCCTGCAGGCATGAGAGGAGGGAACAGGGTCTGTTTTGTTACTGCTCCTACAGATGCTCCCATGGATATGAAAGATCTAAGAAAAATAAAAATTCAACAGAGTTACAAAAACAGTCATGTCAAGTACTGCAAGAAGGAGGAAGTCTGTTGATAATCACATTATACAAGTAATTCACAGATCACATTAAGACTCTTGGACTTTAATTTCAAAACCAAATACTGCATGGTCCTAGAGATATGTTATCTCTCTCTTGCCCATGACATTTGGAAAGACTTAAAATTAATACAGACACCTCTAGCTTGGCTGACATCAAGGTCACAATCACAGTGAAGTTGATGGGATGTAAAACTGAATTTAAAAGGCAGCAGCTCTGACTGCATTCAATTACTTAACTCATTCTCTTTATTTATAAGATAAACACTCAATGAGATACATAATTAGTTGAAAGTAATCTTGTGTGTTAAGATAGGGGTTTGTTTTAGGGAGACTGAACATATTACCCATATTCAAAACACCCATCGGTAGAATGCAAGCAGAGCTTTGTAATACAGTTACATGTGACTTCGAAGAGTCAAAGCATTTGTTTGTAAATTATGTCTGCAGCCTATAAAACTCCATCTGGTTTTGAAAAACACAAAATAAGAGGCTTGTATAAGGCCTTAAATGCAATCAAAGTTAATATCCAAGTACATAAATACATAGTGCTGGCTGCCAGCAAGGCTGGAAGAATTAAATCACTTATAGAAAGAGATTTTACATTTTTCTGGGCAATTGCATATTCACCTTTGGTAAACCAAGCACATAACACCAGTAACAGCCTACTCCCACACCAATGTACAGATCTGCTCTCATCTACACTTAGTGACAACTTTTTCTGCCAAATCATAATGGCTAAGTTAATAGTCAGGTTGCCAAAAATGGCATTCTGCCTGACACCTGGGAAGGATTGATTGCTAAGTCTTTTAAAGGGAGGCAATATTTTGTCTCCCACTCTCATGGACTTTACCCTCTGTATATAGCTTTGGCTCCTTCATACTGAATTGCTGAGGGGTGGGGAAGGGATGCATCCTCATTTTGTTCTTCCACATAGGTGTAAAAAGTCAATTTTATGTAGGAAAATCTATTCTCAGACATTTTCACTGAGGGTAGAGTGAACTGCCAGCCTTTATCTGCAGCCAGAGAGTAAATATAGGACTTCATAGAACAACAATGAGATGGTATAAAGTTACTCAACTTATGATGTCCCAGTCACACCTTTTATGCAAATCCAACAGTGAAGAATAAATATCTTCTTCACACCTCTTATCTGGCCTATAAGCATATTTTTGGAATGCACAGAATGTCATCTTTGGGCTTGACCAGATTCAGATTTCAGCAAATAATTTGTTTACTACCTCATTCTGAGCCACTCTTCTGGGCTATCACTTTTCCTCTAAGTTTATATCTTCTGAAAAAACTCCTTGGCATTATTGGAAGTTTATTTTTTTTTTAAGGAGGAGAATGTTCAGCAGTGTTGTTCCAGCTCATGCCCTTACTTTGTTGCTCATTTTGGCTATACAGCAGGTCCCTGGCTTTCACCATTTGGCATTTATACACACATGGCTAATGGAAACCTTTGTCCGTCCCGTGACAAAGCTGCTGGGGATAAGCAGCCAGCTTGGCTTTCAACAAACAAGCACTGTTTCATTAAAGATCTAATAAGCACTATTCCTCCTGGAAAAGGGTGAGGGCCAGGGAGGAGGACAAGTAGACAGTACCACTGAGAAGGGTATTGAAGCTCCACAGAAGGGAAGCCTGCTAGGGCAGGCTGTTTGTCAATCTCTCTTCTGACTAAGTTAATGGGTCCCCAGTCACCCCACTGGTCATGGACAGCTCACATTCTGAGTCACTGAGTCTCTCCCTCGGGAAGGAAGCCTGCTCATCTGCTTTGGAGCTGCTGACATCACTTCACAGGGCACCCTGATGTCAAAAAGTTCAGCACTAGGGTTTCAAGAGCTTTCACAGCTGATTACACCTCATTGCCTCTCAAATTTGAAAACTTGAGTGTAGAATAGTAACATGAGTGATATATATCTGAGTACACCAATTTTTTTTTTCAAGTGAGGACAGTAAATATCAGTCCCATTGAAAAGTTTTCTTTCCCACTACTTAAGCCAAGCTGTCATTCACAAAAGAAAAATCATAAGGGCAACAGCCAAAACATACATGCTGACAAAGAATGAGAAACGTTAGGGACATAGCCCATGGGTAGGACTTGAGCTAACAGGGTTCATCCCAGTCAACTTTCCAAGCCATATTTTGAAGCTCAGAGCAGAAATTTCTCAAGGAGTCAGGATCAGCTACCTCTCACTGCTGCCTAGCTCTCTCTAAAGTCAGAGCAATAAAACAAACAGATTAATAAACCAGGACTTACATTATTGCCACCAGACAGTCACTGAACAGGAAAGATCTTAAGAAGTTATTTAACAGTGGTTAAATAGAAGTCATTTAACAGTATTTCACCTACATTTTGATAATGTCAATATATTTAAACTAAGCCTGGTTATAAAGAAGTGAGTCTGGGCTCCAGGGCAGGTTGAGGTTTCAGCTAATGAGGAGACAAAAGGCAGGATGATGAAAAGCAGCCAGATAAACAGACTGTGAGCTCTTCCATTTCTGGGCCTGTTACTGAAAGCTTGTTTTTATTTTGTGTCCTACTCTCCTTCCTAAATCATAGGCTCAAACAGGCCAGCCTACATTCGCAGCTCTTAGAAAGATCCATTGCTGTACCTGTCCTCAAAACATAGACAAACCAATTCCTGATACGGGAATTCCTCTGCTAGGCTGGAGTTACCAAAAATAATTTCCTATTAAAAGCTGATCAAGCTAAGTCATGATAACAAGTGGTAGAAAGGAGCTAAGGTGCAGTTGGTTTTACTAGAAAGTTGAGTGACACGTTGAATACAGGCAAATTCACTATTGCTTTATTAATCTTTAAAGCCAAAAGGATCAAGTCCTAGCTCTTCTCTAAAGGAAGAGAGAATCCCATATCTGTGGAAAATACAAAAATATTCTATAACTGAAAGATCAAGTACCTTCAAACTCTAGCATCTTATCCATTTTGTTTTGGGTAACTACAGTCTGCTAGAGAGGGCTTCACAAATGCTGCTACAAGAATTCACTCTTGTGTCAAATCTGGTGGGAGAGATTAATTAATTCTTGACGAGGACGGGGGGATTAAAAGCCTGCCTTGAGTCCTGTACACATATTTCACTCTTTATCTTTGTTTGCAATATGCCCCATATGTTTGTCTAAGAATGTGGTGCAATGGTCTTCGGCCTCACTCAGAAAAATCAACGTTGCACAACACGCTCCAGGATACGGCACGGATTGGTTTTTTAGGTTAGGGTTCACCGGGAACGACAGCAGCAGTAACAGCGAGGCAAAACAAGAGAAAACAGAAAAAAAAAAAAAAAAAAAAAGCAAGAAAGGCTAAGGCAAGAAGGCAGAAGTGGAGAGAGAAAGTTAGTTGGAAGTGAGACACCCAAATAGAAAAAGCTCGGAAATTAGTGAGGAGACTTAGGGTTCGGTCAGACCGCAGCGTGGTCCTCCTGCTCAACCACCAATGTAGAGCCGCCACAAGCGCGGCCGGCAGCGGACAGCGGATGGGTTTCGGAGCAGCGCGCAGAGCTGCGGCTCCAGGGTGGCGGCCGGCGCGGTGACAGCATCACCGGGCTTGCGGTCAGCAGCCTCGGGTGCCGGAGGCCGCTGCGCTCAAAGGCAGGTTAGGCTGCAGGGCTCCCACCCGCGTCTCCCTCCGCACGGCTCCAGCCGGCTCGCAGGGCTGCGGCGGCGTCCCGACCTGCTTCTCCCACGCAGCGTCCATCGGGGCTAATCCCCCACGGCCCCGCCTGCCCTCGCACCGCGCCCCCTGCTCCGGAGGCTGCAGCCTCCAAGGGCTGCTCAGCCCCGGGCATCCCCGGCAGCCGGCGCCGCCGGCCGGCACGGCGAAGGGGATGGAAACGGGGCGGGAGCGGCCCCGCACTCACCGCAGCAGCGATCCCACGCAATCCCGCGCCACCTCCATGGCCCGGCCGAACGCGGGGCAGCGCCGGTCACGGCGCTTAAGTGCAGCGGGCCGGGCTCCTCCCTGCCCGGCCCCTCCCTGCCCGCCTTCCCCCGGCCGCCCGGGAGCCGTGCCCGGGACAGCGAGCGCGGCCGGGACAGCCCCAGGGCTGCAGCAACAGGTGCCAGGCTGGCCACGCTGTGGGAAGGGAAGTTTCTTCTGGAAGCCACTTATGGTTTACCCGGGAAAGGAGCGGGAAAGGTTTTGTTCAGCGTGTGCACGGGATGTGCTCTACACGTTAGCTCGTCGCAGCTCATACAACAGTGGAAGCTAGTATCATTTGCGACCTCCCAGCATTAGAGCAAATCAACAGATTAAGTGTCTCAGCTTCTGATTTTAGAGCCTGTAAATAAGCTTAGAGTTGGATTAATGTGTACAGTAGTGGAGTTATTTACTGTTGCTCCTACGGGCAGGGGAGCAGTGGCTTCTGTTTATACACAGGGGAAAAAAGGCAGTGTTTCCTGTTCATATGGACACAAGTCCTTCGCAGTTCTTTTGGCCTCTGGAACCAGGTTCTGTTGCTTACAGCTGTCCAGCAATTATTGTACAGGAAAAGTAGAGCAGGAGCATCAGAGTCTGCCTCGGGCAACAGCCTGACCTAAGGCAAGGATCTGCACCAGGAAATCTTGCCACTGCTGATCAGGGAATGACTCAGGAAGCCCTTGCCACCAACACTCAGGTTACCCCCAGGGTCAGGAATAGTTGGTAACTTGGTTGCCTGAATTGCTTTTCCTGTTTAGGGTAGAAAGGAGCATGCAGTTTACAGTCCAGGTTTCTTTAGCAGGCAGTCTGACACCTGCTAGATGTCTTCTTCAGTCCTCAGCATTTGGAGCCTTTACCAGCTATTAAGAATTCAACTTTTTTGGTCCAGGGCAGACTGCCTTCTTGGATGTCATCTTCTCTCCAGCCTGATAAAACAAATAGCTACTTTCCTCAGAACATATTCTACACCAAGATACTTGTCCCTGGGAATCTAAGCCCAAACTTTTAGCTCTTCCTCCTCAAGCTTCTTAGATCTTTCTTGTAGGTGTATAAGGGTCCTTCTCATATGTTAACCCCCTTCCCACCTGTTTCCTATGGCATTTAGTTTTGTTACTCTTCTGCAGTTGGTCCCTGACAACATGACACAGAGAGCAGGAAGTGAGAGGCAATATATAATTTTTGAGCGCTGGACTCCAAACAGCCAGTTTTCCCCTGGATTTATATCTTGTGATGGATTGTGGGGCACAACTGATGTTGAGTTTGAAAAGTGATGCATTTTTAAGGAGTTCTTGACAATGTTGTATCTACTGTCAAAAACTTTAGTGTAACACTGCAGCTTTTCCTGCTGTGGAGGGAGAAAAGGAAGAAGGTGTTTTGTCAGGTGGTCTGCCTCCTCCTCTGTCTGTGGAAGGGAAGGGAGAATGCCCCTTAGAGGTCTTATGGAAATCACAGTAACTTCAGAGATTTTTCTGAACAGGTTGGGATACAAATGTCTGGAGGAGGTGGAAATTTTGTTCTTGCAGAAGCTTGGTTTTTCTCTGGTCATGTGGCTCTCCCCAAAGTTCTCTGCAGAGGTGTCCAGCCAGCGCAGCCCCTGCTCAGCAGCCCCCCAGGGGACATGCAAGACCTGCCACAGCTCTGAGGCAGGGGCAAGGACAAGCTCCTCCAACAGCATTAGTGCTTCAATTTGCATTAGCTATTGTAACTAATACAAACACAGATGCCTAACTAATGCAAACATAGATGTACAAGAGTAACAGGAAAAACATGTCCTTTTAAAGACTGTCCCCATCTGAAAAGGAGAGTATTGCCTGTAGTTTTACAAGCTGCACAATTACTCCTTACTCCTTTTCCTGCCCCACCCCCCTTTTTCCCTTTACTGCAAGCAGCAGTAAAACCATCAGATGGGTAAAATCACTGACCTAGGAGGGAGCTGGGGCTCCTGAGAAAGAAGTGTCTTTGAAAAGTAGCAAGACAGGACACAGATGGGATTTGCACAAAACCTACTGAGGAAGAGTACAAACCAGTAGCAGGTGCCAAAACTGGCAGGCCAGGGCAATCAAATGAGATGTCATTAAAAACTGATGAGACAAGACAACACCCAGTATAAAGACAATAGCTGTAAGAGGCAGACTCTTTCCCCTCTTTTACAGGAGAGAAAACAAACTGCAAACAAAAACAAACCTGAGGTGAGTAGGCCAGAAAACTTAACAACATTTACTTCAGTCACATCACTGAAAATATTAATCATGCAGGGGACAAAGTACATGGCTGATACTGAAGGGAGTGAATATTGGAGGTGGAGCTAAATAAGGATGCTAATCCCTCTTGCTAAATTACTCTCTTGCTGTCCCCTCACTGAGTGCAGTGACTGCCTCCACAGGTGTTACCTTTCCACTGCAGTTCAAGTTAAACAAGTTTGGTTAAGTAACTCCTCACAGGGGTCATATTGCTATTGAAAAAGGTTTGCATCGGGCATGTTTAACAGGGAGGAGGAGGCACTTGAAATAGTTTTGCATGCAACTTCACATTGATAAGCTTGCAGTATCAGGCCAGGTTTTCCTTATCACCCTTTGAGAAAATAATGTCAAATTGGAACAAACTCAGAGGAAAGTGGGAATGATCTGACATATAGAACATGGTATATGGGCTATGTAGTTTGGGAATGGGGGAGATTGGGTGGAGATACCAATCATGGACTTCAATGATTTTAGAGAATTCTCTGAAGAGTAATGGAATAACATTTTCTTTGTGCCTACAGGGACTTAACCTGTAGGAAAGGAGAATTAGGTTGTCCATATAAAACTTTTCACCTTTAAGGTGACTGTTAGGTGCTGGGCTCAATTGCTGACTGAAGATGTGAAGTCAATTAGACACTGATGTTGCTTGGGCCAGTGGTCAAATAACACAAAGGACAAGTCCGGACTCCAAGGATCAATTTGGACATTCCTTCTGCTCCTCAAGGCTCTGACAAATAAGACTTATGAGATTAATGCAGAATACAGTGCATTAATGATGCGAATTAATGAGGTGCTTCCTCACCTTCCTTGGCCCAAGAGGGGAGTGAAAGAAGTGAGCAGACACATTTATAGCAGTGTTAGCAACAAAGATAGCAAGATTAGAAGGATTGGCTTAAATTTGTAAAAGTTGACCTTCTATTCAGCTTTCTGCCCTTTCCTGCTTTCAGTTAAGTCAGACCCTGATTTTTGTTAGAAGCACTCTTGTGATCACCCCTAAGCAAATTTGTTTCTTCTCCCTTCTATAGAGAACCAACTTTCTATTATTCATGAGTCCTCAAAATAACAATATTTGTTTCTAAACTGCTTTTAGTATTCAGCAGATTTCTATCTCCACTGCCTCTGATTCCGTTTTATTTGTCAGGCTGTTTATGTTAAAGATTTACTTGTTCATTCTTAAAATTTGTGCTAACCAATACTGCACCATCCTTTAAAGTTTTACAAAACAAATTAGAAAAGCATCCATCACAAGAGGTTAATATACAGCAGATTATTTTGAGAAAAGATTATGGAATAGATTTCATGAAGTTGCTTTTTGTTGTTTTCTATATTTTTCAGAATCTTTTCTAGTGAAACCACATTTTGTGAGGTAAAGTTCTAACAGCTTTGCAGGAGCCACCGAGAGTTTTTGTTAGCTCTACAGGAGGGGATGAGGCTCCTCCTAAAGGTGATCTCGCCGCTCTGCATGGCTGTGTAGAAGAAGATGGGAACATTTTTTTGGTACTGATATAAATCCTCTGAAATTTGCTGGAAATGGTTCTGTGGCCAGCAAAGATCCCAGTGTTGAAAGCTCTGTTTGAACTAAAAATTAACCTTTGACTGCAGTGAATTATCTGGATCAGAAAAAAACAAAACAAAACAAAACCTTCTTTATTCTGAGATTTCATGGGTAAGTATTTTGTTTTATTTTGTTCTTTATGGTTTTCAATGATTTAACAGTAGGATCAAGACAGTGTTGATGGGTGGGCACAACTTAGGAACGCTTAGGAAAAGTTGCCCTGCCAAGAATGTCTCAAGTGAAATACTTCGACACACAAATTTAAATTCAGATGCATTATATATAAAATCCCAAGGTCAGGCTTTGCCCTTCTTTACTCCCTTTGCAATAATGAATGCATGTGTGAATGAATTGCACAAATTGCACATATTTATGGGCAGCATCTAGCTGAAAGCTGACTTATGGAGAGCATCAGTGTGACAGAAATAACGAAAAACAGAAATATTGCCCAGGAGATTTTTGAAGATAATGAACTGGGAATTTATTATTTGTTTATTCTGATAATGCCAAAGATAATGTCAAATATTTTATATTTCAAAAGTTGGAACTCCTACATTGTATAAGTTCTAAATAAAATGAAATCACTTTTCTGTTCATTAATTTCTAACATCTTTATTATTGATTAGTGATACTTCCCACAGGAAGAAAAAATATTCAAGAAGAAATATGAATTTTTATTTTGCAAGCATTGTAATTTTCTTTTATGAGGCTTTTCATCACAAAATGAGAGGCTATTAGCTGTGGAATTGTCCCATAGCTGCACAGTCATGTTATGATTTCTGTAGCAGGCTTGAAGCACTTCAGACTCCAGGCAGCACTCCAGAATCACTGGGCCTCATATTGAACTGTGAGCTCATGCTTCTTTGTTTGCTGCACTAATTAATTAAAAAACTAAATTTAAAAACAATTATTGGACAAGGAGCATCTTTATGTCTTACATGGCATTCTTTCAAAGTTTAAAAATAATAATTATTGTCCTTTGGTGTTGTCCAAAACAAAGACTAAGGCAGGAAAAGTCAGACAGGTTAATGGTGACTTTCCTGAGGGTCCCACTGCATTTGAATCCATGTGTTTCTGTCTATTATGGGTTCACCTGTGAGCATGAACAGTCATTTTTAATGTGTGCAAGAACAGGAACTAGATTCATAAATGCTACACAATAATCTATGCGCATGTGAAATTTCCAAAGCAGCTCCCCTAGGAAATTTTTAAGGATCACATATTGAAACAGACCA